AAGAACGTGCAACACGTCACTAGTGAGGGCGGAAATAAGAATACTGCTCAGAGCACGTCAAGATTTGATTTTACGTCTGCTTAGTTGAAAAGCTGTGCGCCTGGTGCATTTGGTCGAGGCACTTTTTTTTTTTTCTCTCTTTGTAAGAAATTGGGGATGAGCTTTGCGAAGGCAATCATTTTATAATTGAGTGGAAAAACCATGACAAAAACAATGCTCGTCAGTAACTCGACAAATAGTTTTGTACTGAAAACATTCCTCTTCGTCAAAACCTCTCCCACGCATATCAGCTTCTCTTCCTGTACCAGTAGTTTTTCTTTTCATCTGAGCACCGCGGTTCCTTAGCAGATTTTTCAATTTACCCTTTATGACTGGAGCAGCGGATCGAAGCGGAATAGGGTTAAGGGTTAAGCAGATCCGTTTTTAAGACGCGGACGCCAACTGAAAGAAAAATGAAACTGATTCTGGTGCGCCTTAACGCCACTGAATCGACCGTGAGGTCGTCGTTAAAGGATTCATAACCAAATTGTGCTGACCAAAAAATGTGTAGTGGGCACCGGGAATAAAAACTTTTAACTTCCGGTCGCCTTTCATGTCTCGCAAACGTTTGTGCTAAATTTCCGATGAAATTTGTGCCACTTGAATGTCACCTCGCCGCAAAACTTAAAGAGACCGATCATTTTTCACGAAGGTCAATCACTATCACCGACCCAATCCTATACTATCTGGTGACTTCCGGGTCGACGCCATGTACTGTGTTATCCTACATACCCTAATCAATGGTTACCTCAATTTGATTTTTTTTTGTACCAGGAAACCAAGAGATACTGCCTACCAAAACCAGATTTTAGTGAATTCGAAACCTATTCACTTTCATCGCAAACATAAACCAAGGCATCACCATAAACGACACAAGCATCATAAGCGGCATGAACAGCTTCCTAAGAAACAACTGTCCGCAATCTTAGAAGAGGATGATGAGGTACGTGTGTATCCTCAGGGATATGTACCCTACCAGGTTCTGTACGTTAGACTTAGTCATAGTCAAACTTATGGTATCCGCAGATGGATCGATTTTGGTCATTCAAGCACTGATTTCTTGCGCAAACTTTTAAGAGAATAAGGTAGAAACGACTGCTGTCCGCAATATGAACGAAAAAACATTCAAAAGTTCAGAGACATCTGTAAAAATAGACAAAGTTTAGGAAAAGGAAATTTGAGAGTTCTCGGACTCCAATTTTATCTAATTACGGTATTCTGCTAAATTTGATATTTAAAGGTTTGAAGATGACGTTTACAGTTACTTAAGTCTAGAAAATTGCTTTTAAAAAGTTTCTCTCTTCCAGGCCGGACGGACTTCACCGTCAGCTGAATATCCTGTAGGTCCCATTCCCTCGAGCAGCGAGGATGAAGAGCGTGGTATATCTTTTGAGGCGAAGCCTAAGGGCAGAATAGGACGGTATCCTTCCTTTGAAAGGTTGGTGTGCAATCAAAAGTCAGTGTAACCATCAACAAAGGCTTGTTGGTCCCTTGTTACCGAGATTCAGTGGTAGCCAGTTTATTTAAAATCCATTCGTCTAAGATCTAACCTCCTTCTCAGCCTCTCTTAATTTTCGCGGGACATCCGAAATAACGGTTGCTAAACGAAAAGATCGCAATATAAACAACTCCAAGCCGAAGAACTCGGAAGAAATGCAGAACTTAAAGCCAAGCAGTGGCACGGATGGGCAAGGTTGGAGGCGGATTACTTTTGGGTGAAAAACGTCGGCCTCACTTTTCAGGACAAAATGGCGTTAGGGTAGGAAAGGGAAACAAATGCCTCTCTTGTTCTGAAGACAAATGATTCAAATAGAACCACTTCAAGGAGAAGTAACAATAACAATATCAATGCAATGCCAAGGAAACAGGTGATGATCGTAGGTAAACTTATTCAGCTTAATAAAGCGCCAAATTATCCTAATGTAGTTGAAACGAAATGTAAAATAGCTAAAGGGGAAATTTACAATCGGGTTTGAAATTGCAAATATCAGCAAACAAGGCCTTACAATTTGATTAACACCACAGACTTCTCTAGTTTCCTTGTGTGCTTTCACGTTGTCTGAGACTTGTAGTTTCCACAAAAATGCCCCCTACATTTCATTGCACACGTTTTGCTACATGTAATATGCTGAAATGCGTGGTTGTTTTTTTCATTAGCAAAGACGTAGGTCCTCACGAACCACTCCTTAAGAATGTAGATGATGAAGATACCAAAGAAAAAGACGACAGGAAACCCACGGAAGATTTACCGACAGAGCCTGATAGTATTCCCCTGGATTCGTTTGTGGTACAAGTAGATAGTGACAAAGGAGAAGACAAGAATGCTGAAAGCGAAATGTAATGACAAAATTCATTTAATTGTAGGTTTAGTAAGCAATATAAACCCTTTACTTTTAAATTAAATGGAAATTAAATTAGTATTTTAAGCGGTAACGTATGACAACGAACGAAGGTAGAAAGCCTAGCAACTGGTAATAACATTTCGTGTGGCGTTTCACGTTACCTAACAATTCTCTTGGTCTATCGAAAAGCATGTGCTGTCTTATCTAACGAACCGGACGGAATGCGAAATTACAAAATTTCAGTGAACCTATTCGTGTTTAACACATCTATAACGACAAAGGCTAAACTTGAGAATGCCCAGCCACTTAATATGCGTCTTTAGCACTAGTTTAACTGCCCTTTTTTTAAATCATTCTTCGACTTCGTGGGCGTGGGACTGCGGGGGCACTAGTGTAACTGCCCTCTCTTTTCATTATTCTTTGACTTCGTGAGCGCAGAACTGCGGAAGCACTGGTTTAAATTCCCTCTCTTTTAATGTTATTCTTCGACTTCGGGAGCGCGGGAGAATTCGATTCGTAATGGTCAAAAGTGGGTATTCTGAAGTTGCTCCAAGACAAACTAAACAATATATGTTTCANTGTCGTTTTACTAGTCCGCGTTTTACTAGTCCAGTCCAGTCCAGTCCAGTCCAGTCCTCGAAATACCATATGCCCGCACCAGAAAGTTGCGCAAGTACCAGTTGCTCGACATACCTGCGTGGCCCGTGCGACGAAATAACTTCACGAGATTGGCAAAGTTTCAGTCAAAGCAAATTATGCAAAAAATCTAGAAAAGATTTAAGCTTAAATCTCGTTTAACGTTTAAAGCGACATATCAATGACTGCAACCATCGTGTTGTATACAAACCTCGCAAATTTTAAAACACGTTCTCTAGTGATACCTGCTAAAGTATTCAGTATAAATTCCGGTAAGATTTCTGCGGACAGTCTGATTGATTTCTCTTACATTGTGTGCTTAGACTGAAACTTTTCACCTCAAGCAAATCTCCGTTGCACTGCTCAAACATAGCGAGCAACTGAGCGATTAGTATTTGTCCATGTTACAACACACGAAAGGACTCCAAAGCACTCTTCACTCTGATTGGGCAGAAAAACACAAAGATTTTCTGGCACCAACCAGATGGCAGAATGACTGCGACCGTTTGGAACTAGTTTTTAAGACAATGCCCCCAGGGGCTCTTCATGCCCTAACTTGAACTCGACCCACAGCCCCTGGGTCTCCGAGGATGGTTGTATACAAACCTCACAAACGTTTTTAAAACACGTTCTCTAGTGATACCTGCGAAAGTATTCAGTATAATTTCCGGTAAGATTTTCGCGGACAATCTGATCGATTTCTCTTACAAGACTGAAACTTTTCACATCAAGCAAATCTCCGTCGCACGGTCCAAACAAGCATAGTGAGCAACTGAGCTACTAGTATATGTCCGTGTTAAAACACACGAAAGGACTCTAAAGCACAATTCACTCTGATTGGGCAGAGAAACAGAAAGATTTTCTGGCACCAATCAGATGGCAGAACGACTGCGACCGTTCGGAACTAGTCTTGTAAGACGATGTCCCCAGGGGCTCTTCATGCCCTAACTTGAAATCGACTCAGCCCCTAGGTCTCCGAGGATGACAATAACCACAATTACAGTAAGTTAATTGATCACACCGGTATATTTTCTCTCGAATTTCTATGGACTTTTCCGATGGATTATGTTTGGGAAGGGGGAATACTCGCAGTCTAGCAATTATATTCCATTGTTTTTTCAACCTATAATACATTTCTGTGAAGAAAGATAGTAACAGAGAAAAGTGATAGGTTTGTGCATAGAGCCTTATCAGGCTTGCAGATAGCCTGGGTGGGTGAGCAATGGTCAAAAGTAAGGAGAGGGGCTTGGGTTGGTGACTTAACCCCCTTCCCAGTCCCCCTTCCCCCACTGTCAACTCTAACTCCAAATTAAACATGGCCAGTTAAATATACGACTGTGCACTTCTTAACGTTGACTCACCCTAATCAGATGCCTACACTGCAGCCTAGCATGCAGAGATCGCAAACACATTTTGGGTCAGATTGTGCACAACAGTGGCAAATGGTAAATAACTACATTACACCTCTAAGAGGAGGCCTGTTATTTCCCCATCCATAAAATCGGACAGTTACTGAACACTTATCTAAATTCAGTGGCAAGGTTTAATATGACAATTTTACACCCCTTCAAAGATTTCTTCATGAGCCAGATATGTTTTGATGATGGTAAGACGTGTATGTGATCGTTCTGCACTCTTTCTCCTCTCCTTCGCTCTCTACTGGACCAACCAACCATTTCTGAATGGAAGACTTTACAGAAGTTACTACAAATTGGCCTCGAAAATGCGACTCAAGGCTGAATATTCTGCCTCCTAGAAGGGATTTTTTTTCTATCCACCGTCGCATTTCTGTTCGACCTACAAAGCTGCCGGAATCTTGCTTCACAATACATCTAGTTACTCTAACAAAGATGTTTTGTTCACAACGAGCATATTACATCGCTGGACGAATTGCTGCACAATCACTGGTTCGCTTCTGCACAGGAATTTATCAAAGCGGCGCAGGATGAAAAACACAAAAGACCATGCTTTTATTATCCCAACAGCTTCGCCGCTTTCAACCGATCTGACATTTAAACTCAATCCCGGATCCTCTATGAACAGAAAAATACCGGTCATTGTTTCATCGCAAGCCAAGCGCAGCCATGCATTACAGCCAACCACTGTGTTACACAACGTCACCCTCGGCTCCAAAAATTGCTGTCCCAGAGGAGTGAATTGGCACAATCTTATCAGCATAAGATGCTCAAAGCAAAAACCGCAGAATAGATTCGTATCCATTGACTTCTGTTTGTTGAATACCAGATCGATCAATAAGAAGGAACTTGCGATCAAAGACTATGCAGTTGACAATAACGTGGACATTTTGGCAATGACTGAGACATGGCTGAGCAATAATGAAAACTATAATTTTTTCATCACCGAAGTTTGCCCCACTGAATACCAGTTTTACCACGTTCCTCAGAAAAACTCACGAGGGGGAGGAGTTGGTCTCCTAATAAAGAAACACGTGAAGGTTACGAAACAAACCCAAAGAAATTTCAAGTCTTTCGAATACCTGGACATTGTAACGACATGCTCCACTGGGTCTACAAGAATTGTTACCATCTATAGACTACCTCCATCTAAGGCAAATCAACTAAATAGTGCTCTCTTCTTCGAAGAATTCTGCATTCTCACAGAACAGTTAGTTGTGTTCCCTGGTAACCTACTTATAGTGGGTGACTTCAACTACCACGTGGATAATATCAGCAATTTGGATACTGTCAAATTTAACAACATCTTAGAATCGTTCGGCCTAGTCCAGCATGTAAATGGACCCACCCATAAAAAGGGCCACACCTTAGACCTGATCATAACTAGAGCCGAGGACGAACTAGTTAATAGCACTGAAATACGGGATCCCATGCTGTCCGATCACTATGCTGTACACTGCAAACTTCGTCTAAAGAAACCACCTCTGAAACAAAAGGAAATTAGTTATCGAAAACTGCGCTCGGTAAATATGGGCAGTTTTAATGATGACCTACAGCAGTCCAACCTTCTGTCAACTAGCACCCCTGATCTTACAGGTCTCATTGAGAAATACGAAAACACACTGACGGAAATACTTGAAATGCAAGCCCCTTTAAAACGACGCGTGATAACCCTCCGCCCATCGGCACCATGGTACCACGAGGGTATTAGTGATGCTAAGAGAAAACGCCGGAAGCTGGAGCGCCGCTGGCGATCCTCAACACTGTGCATCGACAGACAGATATCGACCAGTGTCGGGTTGTGAATAAAATGGTTAAAGACGCAAAGGCTTCATACTACTCACCTATTATTTCAGAGAATGCATCAGATCCAAAAGTGCTTTTCAACGCAGTTGACAAGCTATTACACCGCAAAGTAGAGAGACGCTATCCGACCGCACCCTCAACGATTGAGCTTACGAACAAATTTGCCGACTTTTTTGACAAGAGGATAGCAACAATAAGAATAAAGCTATCCAATGAAGCAAATACCAGTACCCAAGTCCTGGGAAGCAAACAAAAGGCCTTGTCACGCCGAATTCAAGGAGTTCAGTGATGTCAGAGAGAGAGAGATTGAGGGTTTTGTAGACACTATCGGTGAAAAACCTTGCGATCTTGATCCTATACCGGCATCTATTCTAAAGGAATGTAAATCAGCCCTTCTACCTGTCTTAACTAACATCGTTAACGTGTCGCTCCAATCAGCATCAATGCCTGCTGCACTAAAAGCAGCAGCGATAAAACCGAAGTTGAAGAAGGACAACCTGGACTCTGAGGATTATTCAAATTTTAGACCTATCTCAAATCTGAAGGTCACATCAAAGATAATTGAAAAGCCAGTTTCTTGTCAATTGAGTGATCACCTACGTGATAACGATCTAGAGGAATCTTTTCAATCTGCGTATAGGCGTTTTCACAGTACCGAGACTGCCCTCTTGAGGGTGCAAAATGACATTCTCTTAGAAATAGACAATCAAAAATGTGTTGTCATGCTCTTGTTGGACATGTCTGCAGCGTTTGATGCAGTCGACCACGATCTACTACTGGAGAGAATGGCAAAACGCTATGGAGTAAAAGGAAATGTGCTAAAATGGTTTCGACCCTATCTCCAAGACCGAAAACAGTTTGTGATAATTGATGGAAACAAGTCAAAGACGAAAGAACTTCGGTACGGTGTTCCCCAGGGATCAGTACTGGGTCCGATCCTATACTTATCATATACTTCACCCACTGGGGACATCATCAGACGGCACGGACTAAATTACCATCTCTACGCCGATGACACCAGGCTATCTCCCTTTCAAGCCCAACCCAGCTCTATAGCAAAAATAGAGGCGTGTGTTTCTGAGATAGACTCGTGGATGGTGTGCAATAAACTGAAACTAAACAGAGAAAAGACGGAGCTATTGATCTTGAGCGCACGACACCGTCCACCCCCATTAATAGAGTATGTTGATGTATCTGGTGAACGTATCGAGCCATTTCCCTCTGCAAGAAACATTGGAGTTATCTTTGATGAGCACATGTCATTAGATAAGCATGTTACCAGTATCTGCAAAGCCTGTTTCTTCCACCTTAGAAACATTAGCAAGATAAGACTGCCTATCTCTAGCAGATACTGAAAAGTTAGTTCATGCATTCATTACATCTAAGCTAGATAACACCCACTCGCTACTATACGGACTGCCCAAATTTCTGATAGATCGCTTACAAAATGTCCAGAATGCCGCAGCTCGTGTCGTCACTCGTACAAGAAAGTACGACCACATCAAACCTGTCTTAAAGCAGCTGCACTGGCTCCCAGTTAGCCAGCGCATAGATTACAAGATACTACTTCTGACCGACAAAGCGCTCAACGGCCAGGCCCCCAGTTATATCACTGAACTGTTGAAGCCTTATATAGCAACCAGAAATCTGACGTCCTCCTCTAAAAACTTACTTAAAGTACCATCTAATTTGGATATATCAACAAAGTTGAAGTGGTAAATTGGCCACCGTAACGATTACAAAAGCTGACGTTTCGAGCGTTAGCCCTTCGTCGGAGCGAATAGAGGAATTGTGGGTTGTGTGTGCTTTTAAAGGCAGAGAATGGAGCTACATTATTGGTGGGAACATGGCAACGAGAAAAACAAGAATAAATTAGTGGAATGAAAAGCGTTCGTTGATCCCTGTGGGATTTAGACTGCCGGTTTGAAAGATGAGCTTTTGTTCAAGATTTTTACGGCTTTCCGTGCTACCTAAGTGTAAGGAAAGACCGCAGATTGCCATATGTTGCTTAGAATGATTAGGTAAATTAAAATGTCTAGCGACTGGTTTCGATGTGTCCTTGTCATTCCTTTCCACGTCTCGAAGGTGTTCTCGGAATCGGTCACCTAGTCTTCTGCCTGTTTCGCCGATGTATATCTTTTTGCAATAAGTGCAAGTTATGCAATAGATTACATTGGCGGAGGTGCACGTGAAGTGATCGGTGATCTTAATGGATCGTTTAGGTCCCGATATTTTATCAGTGTTGTGAATGAAAGGACACGTTTTGCATCGTGCACGAGCGCATTTAAAAGTGCCTGGTTGGTCATTAGTCTGAAAAGAACTTCTGACCAAAAAATTGCCTATGTTTTTGTCGCGTTTGAATGAAATGAGCGGAGGCTGCGAAAAGATAGTGCTTGTCTCTGGATCGTTTTGAAGTAATTTAAAGTTTTTAAGAATGATGGATTTAACTGAGTGGTTGTGAGGGTGAAACGTGAGAGTGAATGGAATGCGGTCGGAATCTTCCTTATGCGACGTTTGTAGTGCTGAATGTCGATCAATAAGTTGGGCGCGGTGGTAACCCGCNCCTATCTCCAAGACCGAAAACAGTTTGTGATAATTGATGGAAACAAGTCAAAGACGAAAGAACTTCGGTACGGTGTTCCCCAGGGATCAGTACTGGGTCCGATCCTATACTTATCATATACTTCACCCACTGGGGACATCATCAGACGGCACGGACTAAATTACCATCTCTACGCCGATGACACCCAGCTCTATCTCCCTTTCAAGCCCAACCCAGCCGAACAACCCAGCTCTATAGCTAAAATAGAGGCATGTGTTTCTGAGATAGACTCATGGATGGTGTGCAATAAACTGAAACTAAACAGAGAAAAGACAGAGCTACTGATCTTGAGCGCACGACACCGTCTACCCCCATTAATAGAGTATGGTATGTTGATGTGTCTGGTGAGCGTATCGAGCCATCTTTCTCTGCAAGAAACATTGGAATTATGTTTGATGAGGACATGTCATTAGATAAGCATGTTACCAGTACCTACAAAGCCTGTTTCTTCCACCTTAGAAACATTAGCAAGATAAGAGACTGCCTATCTCTAGCAGATACTGAAAAGTTAATTCATGCATTCATTACATCTAAGCTAGATAACACCAACTCGCTACTATACGGACTGCCCAAATTTCTGATAGATCGCTTACAAAATTTCCAGAATGCCGCAGCTCGTGTCGTCACTCGTACAAGAACGTACGACCACATCAAACCTGTCTTAAAGTAGCTGCACTGGCTCCCAGTTAGCCAGCGCATAGATTACAAGATACTACGTCTGACCTACAAAGCGCTCAACGGCCAGGCCCCTAGTTATATCACTGAACTGTTGAAGCCTTATGTAGCAACCAGAAATCTGACGTCCTCCTCTAAAAACTTACTTAAAGTACCATCTATAAGGTAGCAAGTTATGGTCATAGGTGTTTCTCTTTTGTAGCACCGACTCTATAGAACTCTCTTCCAAGCAACAGAAGAGTGAGCGGCTCGCTATCACATTTTAAGACCTGTATAAAGACATACCTTTTTAACAAATTTTATAATTAGACTATTACCGCTAGATAGTTGGTTAGTCAATTAGTTGATTAGTTGGTGAGCTAGTTAATTGGCTAGGAAATTAGTTAATTTCATCATAAGTTTTAAAGTTTTTACTCTCACTATTATAGACTACCTTATTAGCTAGTTTCTTCTACTCATGTTTTAGAGATTTTTATGGTTTTATAATCTTATCGGTCCGATTTATAAAATTACTGTACAGCGCTATTGGATAGTGATAGAAATAGCGCTATATAAAT